TTCTGTAAGCCAGTTCATCTCACTGAAATGAAGAGAAAAAACTGCCATTCTCTGCCATTTGAGTGGCAGGAAAAATCAGATCAGAGAAGGGTCCCAGTGAGCATTAGAGCCAGGATAAGGGATATCCTGTAGGTGCAAGTGCTGCGTGAAAAGCATTGTGCTGAGAAGGAAAGAGAGCAGTATTGTTAGATCAGATCAACTGTAAGCTGGAGTCCCAGCATTGAGAACCTCTGTCATACACAACATTTAATTTAGAAAAGCACACAGTCATTGGTACTGTATTTCAGCACAATCTTCAATGCTTTATACACTTGTTACCTAGAAAGACTGTTTAATACTGCTTCAAGTAACTTCTCCAGTAGCACTTCAATGCTAAGAATGTTTTGTTGTTTCATGTATAGTTAAAATACTAGCTGAAATTAATTTAGTATAAATTGTTTATAATTTACTTTCATCTCCCAAAAATTCAAAGAGGAGCACGTGGATTACACTAGAAAAACCTCAGGAGCTAAAATGTAAAGATCTGCTTTTTGAACAACTAATTGTTCAAGTCCTGTCATCACCTGATTCCAGCAGTGTAGGAGGAATAAAACTGAACCAAGCTAACATCAAGTGACAGGACTGCCTTCAGCTTTGAGGGGGATTGGGAGAAACAGGTATTATGAACATGCACACACAAATTAATACTTCTGTGCGGGGTCTGGCTAGGATTGAGATAACTTTCTTAATAGCAGCCCCTGGGGTGGTGTGTTGGAGATTTGTGGCTAAAATTGTTGATAATACACCAGTGTTTTGGTTATTGCTGAGCAGTGCTTGCACAGTATCACAGCTTTCTTTTTTTTCTAACTATACCCCCCACCCCTCAGTGAATAACTGGGAGAGGACACAGCTGGGACAGCTGACCTGAACTGGCCAAAGGGATATACTATACCATGTAATATCATGCTCAGCAATAAAACTGGGGTAGCAGAAAAAGGTGGCATTTTTTGTCTACCAAGGTGGCCATTGCTCAGAGACTGGCCAGGCATCGGTCAGCTTGTGGGAGTTGGTGAGTTACTGCCATTGCATCACTTGGTTTTTTTTCCCCTTCTTTCCTTCACTTATTAAACCTCTATCTCAAACCAAAAGCTCTCTTGATTTTGCTCTTCCTATTCTCCCCTGTTCTGCTGGGGAAGGGGGGAGCAAGCAGCTGTGTAGGCGCTGAGCTGCTGCCTGGGTCAACCCCCCCACAACCTCCTTGCTCTTTTTTCAAGTACCAGTTTGTTCTTCCTAACCATTTTGGTTTTTATAAGCTATGTTTTCCCCCTGTGGGGGTTATTAAAATTATGTGGTTTAAATCTCATATTGTGTCAATTACTCAGGAACTCTAATTTAAAACTGTGAAAAACCCTTCTCATCACAAATGAAGATGTCTCCTAAGTATTTAGATGACCATCAGTACTACAGGATTCATATACCCAACATCCCATTTTTATCTTCACTGTAGCCACACTAGGAGAAGTATTTAACAGCAACTTATATATGAAAAACCAATACAAAAGGAAACTAAAGACTACCAATTGAAAAGACACAATCTTGGGCATCTAACTCCATTAATGCCATACTGCTGGCCTTCATTAAACTTGTTCAGTTAACATCTACTGTGAGAAACACTCTTACATCTTTAAATAATTTCCCCTGATGGGCCTGTGCACAATTGCTTCCATCTTCATGGTACCTGGCACACACCTGAAAATAGATCTTCACTTTGCCCCTGTTTGAGCAGGGTTTTGGACCAGCATCTTCCATGTCCAGGAGCTTATGAACAAGCTCACATGGGGAAAAAAATATACAGAGGGTCTTTCAGAAGAGAGGAAGCACAGCCCTAACTTGCTAACAGTGCACCACAGTCCACAGCTCCACCAAGTCACAGGAACACTGGTGGAGATAGTAATGATGAACAATGCCCACCAAACAGTTAAACTGCACAAAATTTATTAAATATAAAATGGCCATGTTCTGAGAATCTACTTTTTGTTAATGTTTGAGTACCTGCATTGAGGAAGAATCTCCTCTTTATGGCAGATCAGCCAGGACTGGTAAGTGTTCTGTCTGCCTTTGTAGGCAGAGCTACTATGCACTTAAAGTCTCCTGGATATTTTCATCAGAGTTTCTTATTGCTGCAAGAACACCTTTAACTTCTCTTCCTGTACAAATGGTAGAATTTTGAGGTCTTGTACTAGAAACTACTTTTGTATTTGCAAATTTCTGGGGTTTTAAGAGACAGCTTTTTACAGTTAAAGATGCTTGTGAAGAGACAGGATTTGAAAACCAGCTGAAATAAAAGATGTCATATTTAATAGGCCTTAGGCAGCAGTCCTTTGTGCAACTGCTTCCACATGAGTAAGGTAGAACTGGGTTTAAAATCCTGGTTGTAAATACAGTCAGATCTGAGAAGAGGGGCAGACAAAAGCAACCATAAGATTTCTGACCCCATCTGCCAGTGCCCTCCTGTCCCTGTTGGTAGTAACCACTGCACCTCTCTTTGGCTAATGAACTTAAATAAGAGCAACCACTCAAGCAGCACTGCTAGCCAGCAAGAGGGCTGCCTGGGCCCCTTTCTAAAGGAAGGCAATTTGTGTTTGTAAAATGTGTGCCTATCCTCTGGTGAGCTGTCAACTTTAATTGTGCTACAGCTGGTCCTGATTTGCCTATGAATTTAATGGGAATTTACTGACTGATTGGATGTCTTTCCATCATAGAGACACAAGGCCAATTCTGTTCCCGAATTTATATGCTACACACAACCACTTTGAATGGCTCAGCTCTCTCAAGCCTTGGATTAGAGAAATTCTTTGATCAGTGCAGACAGAGCTCAGGCAGCAGACCTGGTAGCTGGGTGATGCTCACTCACACGACCTCTCCCCGCTGGGTCTCTTAAATTAGTCTTTTCCCCCTTACCATTCATATCACATATACACCCTTGCCCTGTCTGGAGCTAAGATGCTCAAGCAGCATAGCTTTGGTTTAGAACAAACTTTGTTGGTGTCAAAGCCAAGAATGAAAACCAAGTTTCAGTGTTAAAACAAAAAAAAACACACCCCAAACCCCCAAAACACACAATTGGAAAGGATGCAGACACTACATGAATAAAGACATTACAATTTGCTTCAGAATTATAAATCACCATCTTAAAAAACAATTCCCTGAAACACAGACAAAGCATACCTGAGAGGGTCTGGCAAGGGCTTGCAAAGCACTGATGAAGATAGATGTCTCTGCTGTTCAGAGTCATCTCGCCACAAAGACAATTTCTGAAACACTGCCTTATCATTTTTTACCTTGTACCTAAACACTGGGAGAATAACCACCAGTAACCCACCACCACAGCTAAAGGTCCCACCCATTGGAAATTAATTGGCACAGCTCCCTAAGTGAGAGAGCCGATTAAATCGCACAAGGGTCCTTTTCACAGCACTGAACAGTAAAAAAAACCTGAAATTAGGATTGGGATGGAATATAGTGACATCTGCAGAGCAGCATACTCACAGTGGAAGTCCTAACAGCTCAATACTTTTTCTGGGGGATGCAAGGGAGGAATGTATCACGGTTACCAGACAGAGGGCTACAGGGTGGAGCAGAGGATTCAACTCAAAGCCTTCTGGCATAAAAAGAAGTAAAATCAAGTAGTATGTATGCAATACACAGGTAACAAACAGAGCTCCTCTATTCCTTCACTCTCCTTATTGAACCTATGTATGTGTTCAGACAGAGATAGCTCTTGTAGGTGTATGTTTACACAAGACTCAGCAAAATGGTGCCCTGATCCTGATACAGCACAAATAATTATCACATGCCAGCCTCTTAAAAAAATGTTAAATGATCAATGAAAAAGTTGATCTGGACTAGACAGAAGACTACATTTCTCTTACGTAGGAATTAATCTACCAACTGCTAGTTTTTGTTCTGAAACTAAACTTTTCAGTTTCAAAAAAAAGCTCTCAACTTTCTGTCAGCCCCCTCAAATGCTGGGGGGCAGGGGGGCAAACACCACCATAATTTTCACCTGACTTCATCCTGCTTTAGAAATGCACAATATTTACTTAAACCTCCATACACTACAGGAAGGACTGGATTCTCCAAGTCCTGAAACAGGACAGTAACTTGCTAGGAGACCCATTATTCAGGAGTGGGACTGATGGCAGAATACCCAGCACTTCCTACAGTCTCTGCAGGAGCAAGTGCACTGAAGAGAGATGCTGGACTATTTCCTGGTGTAGGCAATTGTTTTGTGTGCTAATTACACTGATGAAAACAATTTTCAAGGTTTCTTGAGACCTAGTTTTGGACAGTCACCTCTGAAATGTTCACTCAAACAACGAAGATCTCCTAAACATGCTTCCCATGCTAGAAGAAATACACAAAAGGTCAGGCTAAGAGAATGCAACTGTTAAATGTTTTAATTTTGCCAGTCTCTCTACCGTACTTCAAACCAATTTATATGCTGCTCCAAGATATTATCGATTTGCTAAGACACCTTGACCAGGACAAAGTAAATGCCAAAGTCTGGAGGAGACATACCTGTATCCAGACTAGTATGTAATAAAGAAAAGGCAATACAGAAGGAGATAATCACTTCTCACACATGCTGCAGTTCAGATGTGGAACTTACTGTGACAGAAGTAATTAAATCCAGAACAGCCAAAATGTATGCAAAACCAGTTATGTATGGTTCAGTCTACAAATATAGGCTACATGCAACTTACATATAGGCTACACCCAACTTATGTACCAAATCTTAAAAGCTAAGAGAAGTAGCAGCTTGTTTATATGATCCATTCCACTGGTACTGAAGTTCAGTCTGCCTGCAGAAACGGAGTACTTTCTATGGTATTTTGCAACTTGCTACGCAATCACTGCTTCAACAGTCATAAAAGAAACAAAATATGTATCAGACTAATGCTGATTGCCCTTTTTTCCCTCCCCTCATCAACTGAGAGATTTCAGGAAACAAAAGCAAATAAATTTCAGGCTTAAAAACAGCTGTTTATGCTTACTACAGTATTTTTATCTACACATCTATAGCAGACTGCAAACATTTTACATTTATGACACATAACAAGCAACCTGTTTGGTTTTGTTCCCAGTTTTCATTAAATACCACAACCTTCCTGCATATGAAAATCTATACATGAAAATTGATAGCAAAACATAAAATAAACATGTTCTCTGTAGCCACTGCATCTGTAATTTTTAATAAGTTATAGAAATGATTCCTTTATATTCCATTACAATTATGAATATCAATAACCTCCAAACTACTGTTTTGATACAGTGAAAGGGAAAAAAAATCTGACCACAAAGCATAAGCTGCTTTCAAAAGCTGAAAGATAACAGTGAGATTCTTTGTACTGTAAGATTCTCTGCATAAAACAATTAAGTGCTATTTTCTGGACTGTGTGCAAAATATACATCCTTGGCTTCTACAGCCCATAATGAAATTAGAATTAAGAATAAACTGAAGACAACTGAAGTTCAAGTTTATAGAACTATTGCGAAAGAAATAGTTCTTTTGGTCTCTTACGGAAGAAAAAACTTTGAAAGTTTAACAGAAGGTTTCAAGAATTACTACTATCCCCCTACAAATAAGCTTCAATAAGTAAGATGATTACTTAACACACAAAATCTTATTTTTAAGCTAGAATTCTAAAGCTTTACAACAGAACAATAGAATGGCAATACTGAGTTCACAAGCTTTAGTATACTAATATAGTACTTCACTAGGAAATGCTCTCTCAGTGCACTGATCATTATTAAGTTGTACTGATTTGGGAAAAAAGTATCCCACCAGATGGAAATAACAAGAAATGAACTGCATTTCCTGCCTTGGAAAACGGTGCAGTCATGTCAGCTACAAACATTTTTAGACATACCACAAAACTACAAAATAAAAGCAGTAATCTCCAAAAGTAATACTATCAGTTATTGTTCAAAATCAGGTAGAACATGGAAAAGCCAAGTAACTGAAAATTTATATCCTCCAACAAGTTACAGACAAATGTCTGTAGTAAGTGATCAAAGTACTAACTGAAGTCTTGGACATTAGCCATTTTTAGGAGCATTCACTACAAAGCTATGACAGATGCGCAACTACATTAACATAAGCATGTTTTAAAGCACTGTTAACCTTCCTTGCTCCAACTAAACCAACCAAAACTATTGGGGGAAAAAAAAGTTATATACCATACTTCAGGAATTGTTCCCCTCAAATTAAACAGAAAAAGTAATGGGAAAACAGTCACAACTGCTGCATTAAAAGGATTATCTTGAAGACAACACTCGGAGGGCAAAGCAGAAATTAAGAGCAACTCGACACTTAAGCTAACAAGTGCAAGAATGAAATCTCCACTATGTTTCTCTACTCTCCAAGTACCTGTAAGTCACAATAAACCAATCAAGGTATAAACCCAAAGAACCATCTGTATTTTTCTTTATAAAAAAAGTACAATCCAAGAATCGTAAATAGTTAAGAAATCAATTAATTTAGGTTTTTTATAACCATTTGAAAGGAACAACAAATACAGTTCTGTGCATCCTGTATTTTCACTAGCCCTCAACTCAGCCATGGTAGGGCCAGTGATTTCATGAAACTAGAGAGAAATAAGCCCTTTTAATAACCTGCCTTTAAGAAAGAGCCTCAGAGCCATTCTGCAATCACTTAAGAAAACTGTTATTCTTTTTTTTGCCACTGAATTCAGTGGGACTATGCTAGTGCATTGTTATCCTCAGAACTACAGCTGTATTGTGATTTCATGTAAAGCAGAAGAAACTTACTGAATTCAATGAAATTGCACTATTGTAGGTAGGATTAGAGTAAGACCCCTATTTCAACCTGATAAGACCAATTTAACAAAACTACTTTAACTTGATGCACTTCACTTGCTTCCTCTAATAATAAAAGAGGACATCCCACCTCTTGTATGGAACTATTTCTTTCAAATTGCAAAAATAGGGTTGTCTTGGGGGAAGAAAAAAGAAACAACTTAGGTGACTTATAGGAAGCAGCAGTGAAGTGGGAAATGGGAGAAACAGCTGTTATTTTAGCTGAACCAAATTGACACAGTAAAGCTGATGGAGAATGTAAAAACATGAAAGGGAATTGGCTTGTACTCTGTTTATGACTTGTTTCTGAACATTTCGTAGCAGTAAGTCCACAACATTCTACAAAGCATAATTCAAAAGCAAAAACCATTATATTTAGAAATACTGAATATACTCAAAATTGCCCCCCAATCAGAATTCATAAACATGTTTTTTAAAATACAACTGCAGACATCTATAAATGGTGTTGCATATTATATGGATTCAGTATTTGGTCCCGGTTTTCTTCATACTTTTCTATCATTTTCTGCATGTCATGGTCAGCTCCAATAACCTTGAAAAGAAGATGATGAACATTAGAAATAATGACACTATAAAACATGTTTGCTTTTGAGCAAAATAGAACAGGACTACCACTGAAGCCACACTGATACACTCCTAGAGATCTGTCCAATTACCCTTCTGTTCAGAATTTGGCATTCATTGGAAAGCTACATGTCTGATCCTGCAAACAATCACAGTGAACAGCCCCTCAAATTACATCAAAGAGATGGAAGACCAGACTTTTATGCTATACACTCTGGATAGCTGTAAACATTTTTTCTGAGATTTTCCTTCTCCAAAGGTTATTAGAAAAGCAGATTTATTTACTTTTACCACTAAATAACACTCTTAGTATTTGGAGAGTACAATCCTCCATATGCTTAAGTGGTTATAACTAAAATAATACTCACAAGCACTGGGCAGGAAACTTTGAATAGTGTATGTTTAATGAGCCACTCTTCATAGAGCTGATGAATAGCTTCTAAATATTCCTAGGAAAGAGGCATTCAAATAACACATATGCCCAGGGATGAAACACACATTGCAATTTTTATACATTTGGTAAGTAGTTAAGAACTACATATAAAAGCCAGCATCAGATATTTCCACTAACAAAAATAAAAAGCATCAGAAGGTTTCTGAGAAAAACTAATTCCCAGTATAAGGTTTTACTCCATGAAGAACCTCAAAGACACACAGCTTACAGGAACACAGGGCTCTCAGCTCCTTTTAAGATCAAGAACCACGTTTCTCTCCCGTAGGTATAATCTGGCTCAAGATTTTACAGAGAAAAATACAACAAAGAGAAGGACAAAAAGGGAAAGACTGCAAAGAATATGTATTGAAGGCACTTTCTGTGTCAATACATTTTCCTAAAATTCCCAGTTCACTTTCTCCTAACTCTGACTCAATTTCCTCTAAAAGCATTTCTGCCTGTCATCAACTGTTAGTTTTTTTTTCATGGAGACCACTTAACATTTTTCACTCATATTTGCTCCCCCCCATCCCTCAGTAGAGCTGCAAAGTAACACAGTGTCTCTTCAAATCCATTATAGCAAGGATTTATTCTCCAAGGCAAAATTCCACATGGCCCAAAATTTAGCTCTTTGCGTGTATCTTCAACTGACAATTGCTTCTACTGAACTACCCAACGCTAGAGGTACCTTTGTAGTATACAGTATGTCTTCTGCGACTACATTTATTTCTGGTTAGGCTTTCTTTAGAAGAAAACTTGTTTAATGAAGGGCCATTCTGTAACTGACACAGGAAGTGATCATTCAATTACTACAGTTTATTTTTAAGCAGATTCCCATGCTAACAATTTTCAACAAGTTGCTTGTTTTCAGACACAAACAGAGATGCTTTTCATGCATAAACATCCTGGTAATAGCAGACAACAGAAAATGCCCACATAAATCTTCAGCACCTGCATACACAGGTCTTTGTGCTTCAACTGGGTGCCTTTATGCCGTTTAATGATACAGAAGCAATTGCCTTTTTACATCTTAGAGAAGATTAATAGTTGATTAATACTGCACCTAAACAGTCAGCTAGAGTACACTGATTACTAAAACATAACACATAAGTCAGTGTGCATGACAGATCATTTTTGTAAAAGAAATCAAAATTAAATACTTAAGTTTTAATTTGCAATGGAAACAGCTGCACCACATTTTGGCAATACACTCAGGATATGATTTTAGTATTTAGATTAGATTGGAATCACTATGTTTTTAAAGCTCATTGTAACCACATATATTGAAGGAACTCCTTACCAGAGGAATGATCTTTTCCTCTTCTCTGCATCTTCTCTTTAACCTCTCATAACAAACCTCAGGAGAAGTCTGCAGATAAACTGCCATAACAAAAATTATAATAGTTATGTTCAAGGATCAGCTTTAAAAGCAAAGAAGAAACTTACTTCACAAACTATAGAAGGAAAGAATCCTGACTTGGGTACCACCACTGAATCTCCCCTTTGGCATTACTGTTAATCAATCCATGAACCATCCACAAATTAATGCTGCCTGATGCTACACATTGCAACCACTATTATATTGAATAATATGATTATTTATGACCCAAGAAACAAGAATTATTTTTTCTCCCAGTAAGTAAACCACCCACAGACAAGCCCCTCCAGATCCCATCAAAATGTTACCTATCAAATCAACCGAAACATCAGTGTTGTTCTGGATCCAGTCAAACCATTCAGTTAGGACAACATAATCCACCTCTGGCATTTTTCCGCTGAATAAACATAAAAGTCATCACTTACTGAACAGCATGCACAGATCAATTCTAAACTTGTATTTTTTTCACCTGACCAGAATTACTCCCAATTTACTCCAGCATATGTGAAATGAAAACAAGACCAGTATTATGCCCTCCAAAATTGAAGGCTTCATAAAGCATTGTTTATACAACAGAAAGACCAAATCTTTTTCTTTAAAAAAAGTACTTACTAACACAAAGTTTCTATTATTAACGGTTACAAACATTAATTATTTTTCCCACTACAGTTAAGAAATAATTACTTGGTGACTAAGAAGAAAAACATTACCATGTTGACATTTATGCAATAACAACAAATTAGTGTCAATGGTATTTATTGCTCAAGTTCTTTGTATCAGGAACATTTCAAATATATCTGAACTACTGCAGTGCATGTCACCAGAAAGGCTTGATTTACTAAGCAGCACTGACAATTCATTACAGAAGCCATAGTAAGAGCAGTAAAAAAACAATGACACCGTGTAAATAAAATTTACTCCTGCTGTAAGAAATATTTGTGGAAGGAGTACTGAAAATATTCAACACGCTTCATTTGAACTCTGTATTCAGAGAGCATAGACAATATTGGAGACAACTGCCCCAAGGTTACCTCAGTAAGAATAATAAAATATCAAACAACTCATGTAGAAGGGAGTCTATAGAGGACATATTAAGAATCACGTTATATTTTTACTAGTATTGGAATTTTCACTTATTACCATATTCCTAAATAGTCAAATATTACTAGTTTTACATTATTCTGTCTTCAAAACTGGTGATAGT